ATTTAATCCGCGGGGTTCGCTGCCACCTGGAACCGGCTCCGTATACAGTACGGCCAGCAGCTTCGTCGATGCACCGGTTGATCGTCTACTCGAAGAACTAAACGACGATAGCCTATTTGAGGGATTTGGCAATATGGAACTCAAGGAGACGACGTCTGGGCTGCCAGAAGAGGTTTTGCTCTCGAAAGTCGAAAGCTTCTCGACGAGATTTTCTGGCACATTTCAGACTCCTGTCAGGTCTTTTAAGCCTTCTCGAAGAGTGAAAATCATCACTCTGTGTCCATCGGAATGTGGAATCACCCAGAACGGAAATTCGGCTGCTCTAGCTGTTTACCTTCTGGACCAGGACGCCAAATCGATGACTGTTGTGAATCTACGCGCTGACAGGGTAGCACTGCCGAAGAAAGATGCAGTGACTGCCAAGAAACTGCGAAAGAGAGCCTCTTCTGCGGAGCGTTCTTTGCTCGTCCAGGCGACGGGCATACATCACTTCACGGATATTCGAGACGCCTGCAGAGTTGTTGATGGCCAGACTTCACGCATACTGACACTTGGAGCAGCACACGACGATGAAAACGAATTGTACCTGCAAAGCCCATGGAGCAACCCTATCAGAGTCGACATTCCCCACAATCTAATGCTATATGAGAGATATGGCGTGTCCTCCAGCGCATCCTCTAATCGCCCACGAGAAAGTGGTATGAATCGTATAATGACTGATGGCCCGGTATCAATATCTGGTCTTGACCATCCGTCTGTTCGAGGAAAATTCGATGTGATCGACGCAACGAATAGACGACACAAGCTACAGATACAGATGGAGCCAACCAATGAGCTTGTTAAGAACGTCATTCGAATCTGTAAATTTGTTTTGCGTGACTTTGAGAAAGCTGGCGATGGTATATTGGCTGGTTGGTGGGAAACCGTCAAGTGGCTTCGTGCGAGAGACACTGGCGAAACTGACCACGAGTGGACTGCAATGACAATCGTGTTGTTCGCAATGGCATTGCAATTCATTGACAGTGATCAAACCCCCGTCAAACAAGCACGCAGAAAGAAGGGTCTTCTTAGATCCAGCAGTGGAAGCTATGTCGACCTCGAGAGCTGGGAAGCGATGTTGGACAAGGAATCAAGCTCTTCTGGCGTTGTAGCGCCGTGGATGGCCAGCAGTTCTTGGGAATGGATCCTCGAGCAAGATGCAGAACAAGATGCTGTCAAATCTCAGGGAAGGAACGCTCGAAAGATTGACCAGCAGGTTTCTAAGGGATCAACCTTTCGAACAAACACGTATTTGGTCCGATGCATAGCTCTGGCCCGAGAATTTCTGCGAACTCCTCAGGGTAACTCGACGATTGGACCAAACGGTCATCTTCCTATTGCGCTCTCCTGCAATGATACTCTCCGGCGGACCGCCCTGTGTACGATTGTAGTAGGCTTACACCTGTTTCGGGAGGAACAGAAGCTTTCAATCTGTGATGCCGAGCATGAACGTAGACCTTTGGGTCTCCTTGCGCCCGTTCTGGCCCAAATCGGCGGCTGGCTCGGATGGACGTCCTGGACATGGGAAGACGACGCGTACTACGGCTCTGAGATGGCGAGCATGGAACGGTGGCAGTTTGAAGCTTCTCGCATCTCGATGATGGATATTCCTCCAGAGCCCTTTGCGCCTCCTTCGATCTTCGCTCACCTGGAGACTGCGTGGGGCCAGCGCTCCTCGCCGTTCTTCACACTTCTCGACCTCGTCAGCACATCAGAGAGTACTCCACGCAATGGGAAATTATGGCAGGAATGTTTTAGGCTCACTCCGAGGACACTGGCTCTGAATGGGCTCCTCTCCGAAATACACGACATCTCGTCCTCGTTTGACAGGGTCAAGCTCCTTCACCGTTGGGGTCTTACCAGGAACGTCGTCGAGACCTTCCCAGAAGGCGTCAGTACGCCGCTGTATGAAGCGATCATGCGTACGCAGACCCAGGCCTCGGCGTCCTGGAATGCGAATCTTTTGGAACTAGTCGATCGAGAGGATCTGAGCATGTCCATGAATACAGATACACCATATCCACCTTCGGTACCTCCTCAATCTGCCCTATCGCATGATGCAGTGCGCGACTTCCATCACATCGGTGCCTCAGCCCTCGAAATAGACACAATCAATTCCTTTGAGGCTTCCGCAGAGGCAGATCGGTTCTCTATAACACGGCTGATTTTCAGAGACGATAAACGCTTCATAGAAGCGGCCAAACTGCTCAACCAATCCAAAGCTCCCGTGGCAGAGTGCATCCCAGAGCCCGACTGGACCGATTCAGACTTACTTGAGGCGCAAAAGGAGGTGGTGCAACTCGTCACCCTTCGGACCTTGTCGATCCCTGCCGGCCGAGCCATGCTTGCTTTCAGCGGCCGCTTGCCTCTATTGACGGAGAAGCTTCCAATTCCGTCATTTTCGCTGCAGTGCGTTATGAAGCCGTCAAACGTGACAGTGAGCGCCGAAAGAGCATCTTTCAGCGAGGAAAAGGTGTGTTGGGCCTTTTTTCACAACGGCGTCTCCACTGGGCTCGCTATCTCCAAGAAGTCAAAGGGGATCGACACCTCATGGATCCTTTTCAATAAGCCACAGGAGCTGACCAACCGACATGCGGGTTTCTTGCTGGCCTTGGGTCTCAATGGACACCTCAAATCGCTGGCCAAGTGGGTAGCTTTCAAGTATCTGACCCCTAAGCACACCATGACATCGATCGGTCTCTTACTCGGGCTCTCGGCGTCTTATTTGGGCACAATGGACACCCTTATTACACGGTTGCTGTCGGTACACGTTACACGAATGCTGCCTCTTGGGGCGGCTGAACTCAACCTATCACCGCTGACGCAGACGGCTGGCATCATGGGAATCGGCCTTCTCTACTGTAACTCTCAGCATCGAAGGATGAGCGAGGTGATGCTGTCTGAAATCGAAAACGCGGAACAAGAGGAGAGCTCGCCGGCGCATGAGGATCTGCGTGATGAAGGCTACCGGCTGGCGGCCGGCTTCGCCCTTGGCTTCATCAACCTGGGCAAAGGCAAAGACCTGAGAGGCATGCGGGACATGCATATCGTGGAAAGGCTCTTGGCCATCGCGGTAGGCACGAAGACTGTCCACTTGGCTCATGTGCTCGATCGAGCCACCGCTGGTGCTACCGTCGCCCTTACGATCATTTTCATGAAGACAAACGATGAGGTTCTGGCGCGGAAGATTGACATCCCCGATACCACTGTCCGTTTTGACTACGTACGACCGGACCTCTTCCTCCTACGAACGCTGGCTCGACATGTCATCATGTGGGATAGCATACGGCCCAGCTATGATTGGGTTATCGAGAGTCTCCCGAAAATTTATCGACGTCGATATCGGCTAACAGGCGTCAGCCGACTGAAGAGTGACGACATGCCTTTCTTCAACATTATTGCTGGGCTCTGCTTCGCTCTCGGTCTGCGCTTTGCGGGCTCTGCCCAGCCAGCTGTTCGTGACCTGCTTATCTCCTACCTGGACCAATTCATCCGCATTTGCAGACTCCCAGCGGTGAATTATGACGGGCGACTCACCAGGAATTCGGTTCGAAACTGTCAAGACATCGTTGCACTCTCCGCGGCGACTGTAATGGCCGGAACGGGAGACATAGCACTATTTCGACGATTGCGATCGCTGCACGGCCGCGTGGATGCAGACACGCCGTATGGAAGTCACATGGCCGCGCACATGGCCATCGGGCTGCTCTTCCTGGGCGGAGGCAGTTATACGGTTGGCACCTCCGACCTGGCGATCGCCTCACTGATCTGCTCATTGTATCCCATCTTCCCGACGACGGTACTAGACAACAAATGCCACCTCCAGGCGTTCCGGCACCTGTGGGTTCTGGCTGCCGAGCCGCGCTGCCTTGTGCCCCGGGACATCGATTCTCGCCGCCCGATCCATCTCCCCATAACCGTAACGAACACAAGCGGCCAGAGACAAACCGTGACCGCGCCCTGTCTCCTGCCAGACCTGGATAGCATCGCGAAAGTGGAGATCCGCAGCGCCGACTACTGGCCTCTTGTCCTGGACTTCACGCAGAACAAGCGGCTGTACGACAAGTTCCGGCACGGGGACCAGTCCGTCTATCTGCGGCGCAAGGCGACGTACAACCCCACCGGATCCTCCGTGTTCGTGGCGACCCTGTCCGGCCTCAGCGAGGCGCAAGACGTGCTCCCGTCATCCGCGGCCACTGCCAACCCGGGCCGGCGACTCCTCCCCGCCGCGCCGCCCAAGGCCGTCGCGCTGCTCGCCTCGGGCTCCAAGCTCGTTCATCGCGCGGTGCCGTCACAGAGCATGTGGGACTGGATCTTCAACCTCGGCTCCCTGCAGGGGCTCGACATCCACGAGAGGTCACTGGTGCTGCCGGCCTCGTTCCCCGCACGCGTTCGGTGCATGGGGGCGACTGGTGGGCCGGGGGACGCGCCGTGGCTGCGCATCTCGGCCGTGGACAGCAATTTGGTGATCGAGAGCAGCGTGCAGCATGTGATCCGCGCGGCTGGCGGGCGGGGCGCGGACGCCGACGAGGTCCGCGATCGCCTCTGGCAGCTGCGGCTGTTGTACAGCTGGCTTGACCATGTCCGAGAGGGAGAGGAGACGGAGGCGAACGGCGACGACGAGGTTGCATCGTCCAAGGGGTTGTGGCTGCGGCGGGACTTTTTGGAAGAAACCCGGTGGAAGATTTGGGGGGTGCATATGGGGGGAGTATCATGAGCGTGCGGACGAGGAGGACGTGGAACTGTAATGGTTACTACATATCTTATTTGAGCGTATGACTGTTATGAGTATGTATTTATGTGAGATTCATGACTCTAGTGGGATGGCATAGAGGGATAGATGGTGACTACAATAACTCAAGGGTATTCAATTGTTCATGTCATCGTGATTGTGGTAACATAATAATATATGATACAAGACGCAAGGGTCTGATCCGCCATATGCGAGCAATGCCGATAGCCTACTGCGATCGGATGGCATTCTCTTTTAGGATCCCCCGATCTCCTCCTCCGCCCATCTGCCAGAGCCAAACGCCCTCCACGGCCCAAGCGGAGGCACTGGCATGACGACCGATCCCAGTTGGCCCCTTTGGCACTGGAGTACCTTGCGTTGGCAACGCAGACGGGTCGTTCGAATCAGCGGCAGCTGAACGACCTGCGCCGGACGGAGCGCCGTCTGCTTCTGCCAGCATGCCGGCGACTACGCCCTCGCGCTCGATCACGGACCATAAGCCCTCGACCAGGGGGCTGCCGCGTTCCCCGAACTGGCCCTTGCCCAGGCGGAACAGGATACGGCCGAGAACTTGCCAGGCGATGCAACGTTGAGCGGGGAAAGTCGAACGACTGAGGATGGCGAGTTCGGGAATGGTGTAGCCGGCAGCATGCGGATCCTTGCCGTGGTGATGCAGACCGAGCGTGGTGGGGAGGGAGAGCGACGTGGCTGGGGAGAGGACATTACCAATGAGGGAGAATCGGAGAGCGGAGGGATGAACGGCCTCTGCACTACTTGCGGGGTGGTAGGCGGATGTCGAGTCTGGATCTTCAGGGTCGGATGATGGCGGCTGCAGCCAGGAGAGCGCGGATGGATCATGAGACATTTCGGGGAAATAATGCGCTTGGAGGTCCGACAGGAAAGAAGGAGACGAAGGGTCGAGATTTGGTGGCTTGTCTTGTCGAGGGGGTGTAGGGAAATGAAAGGCCTCATGACTGGGCAATTCAGACGCTGGATGGAGGTCGGCAGGGGGTTGAGCTGGAGGAAGGTCTTCTGGCGTGAGAACGGAAGAAGTTACTGCGGGGGGAGTTCTCTTGAGCTGCGATGGCTCTTGCTTCTCTGTTGCTGTCTTGGAATCTTCTTCAACATCGAACGAGACTGACTTCTTGGGTTTCGCTGTAGAAGTATCTTGCACTGATAAGGAAGACGAGGGTGCTGGTTCTGGTTGTGACGAGCTTTTCTCAGATGTGGTAGTGTCATCGTCGATCCGTGCGCGACGGAGGAATCTCTCGAGCAGGGACGGATTCAATGAAGACATAAGCTCCTCCCGCTCCTGCTGTACCTGGGCCGGTGACATGGATGCCAGTTGCCGACGGTTCTCCTCATCGATGCTCTTCTTCTCATCGGAAAGCGAGGCAGCAGGGGTCGAGGCAGGCGGCGGTGACGGTTCTTGTTGCTTGTTCGCCCTGCGCTGTTTGAAAGCAGACTGATTGACACGCCGTCGATGTTGAGGGAAGCCTGTTGATCCGGTTGAGGGTTTAGGAGCTGGGGGGATGGCAGCGGAGGGGGAGCGCTCGCGGATCTCGCCTATCAGACCGAAAGGGGAGGAGTCGAGGGAAGGTTGTGAAGAATCGAGGTTGAGGTCTTGATCGTCATCGAGGTTGAGAGTGAAGCGCTGGCCTCGAAATGCCATGATGTATTAAAAGTTCTGGAGTTGTCTGGGAATGAAGCTATTCAGTGAAAGTTGGCGGGGGAAAAATACTAATAATAAAATAATGAAATCATCTGATGCGGCTCAAAAGCCTAAATCGGAACGCAGAAGGCACTAGTCTCGATAAGGAATAGTGATACTTATACGCGCCTTTCCCAAGAAGGCTAGTCTGAATGTATACTCCGTGCATCAAGGTACTTGCCGATTCAGGCAGGTACCTCATCTCACGGCACTCTATCCACTCCTTACTTTGACCAGTGGGACAGGTATGTATCGTACGTTGGGATCTCATTAAATAAAAGATGGCTATAAATAGTGTCCTTTTCCGCCTCCCTATAAGGTCAAAATCTCAGTATTAGCGTCGGTTTGGACCGTCCGATATCTTTGCGCGGGAACTGTCCGAGTACCAGGAAATCACATTCGTAATCGATGGCAGCAAAGATTCCACTGGCCTGTATAATGATTCAGCAGGAGCATAAGTATTGAATGTTTGAGAAATTGAGCATGATAGACCGGGTGTCTGCCTGGAAAATGCGTTACAGAATGATACCCCGTATCTCCTTATGGTCCTAGGAGTATTAGATGAACATCATGGTGACAGAGTTGACTGGGTAAGTATCAGAACTCCCTTTGGAATTGAGCAACAAGCGCTCAATGAATTGAAATAGAATCAAGGCGTAGACTAGTTCATAATGTTGTCTGGCTAGAAGTATAAGAAGAGAGATAGTGCGTGACCCCATACTCCGTACAGTGATGAACGATCCCAGTAAGTTGATATCAAGCCATGGAAGTACCTAACGATACTACGTGCGTATGATCAAATCATATCAGATCAATAAGATCTTCCTTTCTCTCTGTGCTCTGTCTTTTACTCTGATGACGCTGGATTCTTGATTGATTCTTCCCATTTTCCTTCTTCCTTTCTCCTCCCTTTCCCCCCTTTCCTTTCTTCCTTTTCCTTTCTTCCTTTTCCTTTCTTCCTCTTCCTTCTGTCCTCATCCTACCGTATGATGGTTCGCTTAGCTTAAGATCCGTCTGATATAGGAACTTCAAGCGCTCTGCAGACCATCCGGAGCAGGTAGCTTGTCCTTGTCCTCTTTCCTTCTTGTTCTTGTTCTCGTCTCTTTCCTCTCTTCTTTCTCTTTCTTCTCTTGTCTTCCTTTCCCCCTTTAATATCTCCCTTTCTCTCTCCCCTCTATCCCCGTCGTGATCCCCATCGCCTTTACTCCATACTACTACCCGTCTCTCATTTTTTCTCGGTTCCTCCTCCCGATAGTCTATTCTGTGCTATTTGATCATCTCCAAACGAAGTCCTCCACCCGTCTCCATCCCGGCTCCCCTCCACCTTTGTGTTCTTCTACCCAAACTGCACAATTTTCAGGCCAACCCTTGACGCGACAACCACCCGATATCGACATCCCCAAATATTACCCCCAGATTTTCTTCTTACGCGTGCAAAACTTATCATCACCATCGTCAGGGAATCCTTCTTGAATTTCTTCATTTCTTTTCCTTTTCCCTTTCTTCAATCATGTCTGCCGATCCGCCAGAAAATGGCTGGCCTGACAAAGAGGACGAGTCGCTGTCATCCATCGACTCCAACGCCCGACCCCGACGGGCCTCCGCCACCACTCGACGGTCGCGTCGCAAGAAGGACGACGACACCGAGCCCAGTCAGAAAGATCTCACCAGGTCAAAATCCCAAAAGGACAACAACGGTTCAAAAGATGGCGCAAAGGACACCAAGGAAAAAGCCAAACCCCGGGGTAGTCGTCGCCAACGAGAAAAGTCCACATCCACCAATCCCAATAACAATACCACCACCGCCAACAGCAACAGCAACAGCAACAGCATCGGCGCCAGTACCAGTCATAATAACAACGACTCGAGTACAACCGCTCCCCATGACCAAAATTCATCGAGTAACTCGCGCAAGAAACCAAAGCTGGAGCCCACTCCTCCCGACGAGATCCCCAAGAGTATTTCCGTGAGCTCCATCACGACCCCGTCTGCTCCTGCTCCTGCGCCCGCGTCGACGTCAACGTCAACTGGCCGCTCTCCGCACCTCACAGCCTCATCCGCATTACACCTTCACCAACCTTCTCAGCATGAGCAACAGCACCAGCAGCACCAGCACCAGCATCTCTCCCCGCTCAATCCCTCGTCCTCTCTTCCTCCCTACTCCAATTCGACCCCGACTCACACCCCGACTCATGCGCCGTCCCCTGCTTATGTGATGAACCATCATTCTCTTCCTCCTCCACGGCCTCAATCCCAACCGCCTCCCCCTGCTCCCCCGCAGAGGAGGAGCGGTCAGAACTATGACCCCATCCGTTCGGCCTTCGATACAGCGACTCCAGCTCCGGCTCCCGCGACAACCAGTCCACCCGCGCAGAATCATTCCCCGCGCAACACGTTCCGCGCAAGTGCCTCGCCGGCCATCTCCAGTATCATCGATCCACCCCAGCCGACTCCAACGCAACACATCTACTCGCCCATGCCACGGCCCTCACCAAGCCATGTTGCGTCGACGCTCTCCTCCCCCGGAATACACCCGAGTGCTCCACCATCAGGCCATCCTTCACTGGCACCCTCCCCTTTGCCGGCGACCTCCCCCTCCCATGGGTCTATTCTCGCTCCCCAGCATCCACTGTCACTAGCCTCGCAGCCACAGCAATCGTCGCCGCCGTATTCGCATCGCTCTCCCTATCCGCCTCAGCAACAACTACCACAACCGCAGCCCCCACGTTCTCCGCGCAACGAACACAAGCCCGTCGCGGCGGCTCCAGAGCCCGCCTCATCCAGTCAGGCACCTCAGAAATCCTCCCCAAAGCAGGACGCAGAGCCACCGGTCCTGCATAAGAAGCAACCCCTCGCAAAACCCGGCTCTCCTCCGGAGGAAACAGCCGCGATGGATGTGGATATGGATGAACCTGCTCAACCCACTGCGGAAGCCAAGGCGCCCAAGAAGGAAAAAGGAACAACCGCCACCTCTACTACCACCGCCCCTTCCTCCAATGCGGCGTCGCCGAAGCCCTCGCGTCCTGTCAAGGAAGCGCCGCCTCCATTACCCCAAGGCTCCGGGTTGATCTCCAATGCACTATTTGGAACCGATGACACTCGCCCCTCAGGTTCGTCTCGCACCTCGCCCAACATTATTCTACACATTCCCCTGCAGCGAGATGGCAATCAAATCATCAACTTTGCCCGTATGGCGGAGGAGCAATACGGTTTCGCAGCCTTGCATCCCCGACTGGCCGCGCACAAGGAGCGACTGGCTCGCGTTGCAGCGGCCGGTGCGGCGTTGGAGCGGAACGAAAAGGGTGGCAGGGGCGTATCTGCGGGAGAGAGCGCGGACGAGGATCTCAGTCTTGACGTCGACCGTGATAGCGACCTTGATGGCGATGTCGCGATGGGTGGTCTGGGTGCGAATGCCGGGGCGGCCACAAACGGCGCGACACAGACAGATGCCTCAGATGGAAAGAAGAAACGCCGCAAGAAGAAAATGGAAGAGTATGATCGGGATGATCCTTTTGTAGACGACAGCGAGTTGGCTTGGCAGGAACATGCGGCCGCAAGCAAGGATGGGTTCTTTGTGTACAGTGGACCGCTCGTCCCGGAGGGAGAGAAGGTCCAAGTTGAACGGTGAGTTAATCTGCTTTCTATCCTTTGATCTCTCCAAAGGAGAAATTATTACAGTACAATTACTAACGACGGTTGACAGGGCGGACGGAACTATCAAGCGTGGGCGTGGCCGGGGTCGCGGTGGTCGCAGCCGCGGAGGTCCATCGACTCATCAAGTGCCAATTGCCGCCGCGGTCCCCATCTCCCAGGAGACAGGGCTGCCTCTCCGTGGGCCAGGATCCCGCGGTGGCAGCACCACTCGCCGTCCTCGTCCGAGCAAGTCCCGGCAACAGGCGGAACAGGACAAACAGGGCGCCTCTTCGGCAACATCGCAAGGACGCGGCGGCGGAGCAGCTGGCCGTGGAGGCGGCGCGGCTGGAACCCGCGGTGGGAAGACACCATCGATGGTCGAGCTTGCTCCTGCGCCTCGTCCGAGCTTGGCCCCTGCACCGCCAGGGCCCAGTCCTCTGGCTGGTCCAGAAGTGGTGTCAAAGTGATCTTTCTGCTGCCATTGATTATCTCATATTATGGACGTTTCGCGGATGCGAAGTCCAATGATTGCTTTTTCCTCAAGTAAAGGGATTTTCCCTTCATTGTTCTGGTGTACGGCGGCATTATGTGATTAATTATTGTGTGACTTGGGCGTTTGAGGGTTATGCAGTACAATTGGTATGATGAAGCTGACTTGTCAGTCTAACTTTGTCTGCTTGTGGATTCGATGGATGGCTGGTGAATCAGAATGACTATCTAGCTCTTTGTTTCTATCATACATTGTCACGCTGCTTATGATTGTGCTGATATGCAAGAGGCGTGTTGCTTCCTAGTCGAAAGAAGACTTGATCATTAGAAATCGCTGAAGATCGAATCATCTATCATATGGCTCTTGAGTCTTGTAATTACTATTTCTCTCTGCTTTGAACGGGAATCAACAGTAGCTGCCTGATGCTATGGKATACGGACGGTGCACGTATTATGCCTATATGCACAAGACTATAGCTCTATAGATCGGTGTATGTATGTTAAAATGCATGGTATGTACCTTTGTAAAGATGATTTAGGCACGTACCACATAAGAGAAACATCAGGCGGTGACACATGTAGATGCAATGAGATCCAGCCTCTGATTGGAAAAGCAACCGACTGCACAGACTTTACATGGAAAAAGGTCCATGCGACGAGAACAGGCTATGGGACATAATGACAGACTCCAAAGGGGGGAAATGTGATAAGGTACATATGAAGAAAAGAGATAGCCAATGAACGAAGACGCCCTGTCGATGCAAAAGTCGTGGGGAACATTTGGTCAAGCGCGGTCAGGTTTGCTAGTTATCCAACACCGATCAAGTTGGCGGGCCACA